AAGAGTGCAGGGGGTAAGGCCAAAGGGTCAGGAAGACAGGGGAGGAGCCGGCACAAGAATCTCAGCTTCTGTGCCTGCCCCTCAGTGATGAAGAAATGTGCCAGAGTTTCCTTAAGGAGAACAGCTGGAACATCTTTCGGAAAGACCTGCTGCGGCTACTGGTGAAGCCTCGCCAAAGTCCGCCACTCACACCACTCCGGCCCAAGAAGAAAGGGATCTATAATCCGAAAGCTCTTATCTTGGATTTGTGTAGCATCGACAAGAAGACTAAACTTCAACATCCCATTTTTATGGCATCCCAAAAGCTCCTTCCCCCTCTGAGGATTGTCCAAACCATCACGGCACCCCGGTACAAAATTCAAGAACTCCTGCCTCAGTATAAGAATGCAGGAGTCCTTGTTTAGAACCAATAAAGGATGGGTTGGCCACCATGCTTTCTGAATGCTTATCATGGGTAATATGAGCTTGGAGTGACCGTGCCCTGAGGATTGAGCTGTGGGTCCAGAGCAACCGGGGCACAGTGTGGGCTGGGCTGAGTGAATGGGTGTTCAGGAGGCTGGGTGTGAACAGATTAGTCACTGGGGATGATCCCAGGTGGGAGGGTCTTATCTGACCAGTTGGTTGAGAGGCGTGGGGTTCAGATCAAAGTGGTCAAGATAAGGGTTGCAAATGCAGACACCTTCCAGGGCCAGACAGGATATCTGAAGGAACACAGCATCAGGGCTGGGGATGCGACAGGGAATGGTGGGGATGCTGGCACCTCGATGTATCCTTCCCTATTTAGATGGAGCAACTGCTCCTTAGCCCCAGTAGGTTGATGCTGTGCCAGAAAGTAATGCATGTCCAGTATTGCCAATCTGTAGCTATTAAGAGAACCAAAAGATGCAATATGTCAGATGATTCCTACTGTTTTTTAAACATGGTGACTAGTTCAAATTGTTTTAGAATAGTGTCAAACAGAACACATGTGTGGGCTATGCTGGGCCTGTAGGTGGCAGTCTGGACCTCTGTCAGGCCAGAGAGTGGCGTGAGGGTATGACTGCTGGGAGCTGAGGTTTAAGGCACCAGAGAGAGACAAGGTAGCCTCACATGAGCTGGCATCCTGGGCCAAGGATGCAGAACGAGCAACCTGTGATAGAGGAGGCAGGCCAGAGACAAGGAGGCAGTAGGGTTGGTGTTAAAGAGGGTTCGTTGGCATAGTGGTTAAGGTGCTGACTCCCACATGGCCAACCGCGGTTCAACTCCTGGACTCAGTGGCTTGAAACTCATATTGGTTATATTTGCGTGAGTGCTCAAAATCCTGAGAGGAGGGAACCAGCAGTTAGCGTAATGGCTATGTTGCTGGACTCCCATGTAGTTGACCGCGGTTCGCATCCTGGACCCAGTGACTTAGAACTCACGCCGGGCGCGTGTGCGTGCATGCCCAAGATCCCGAGAGGAGACTGGAGGAGAAGGGATTGCAGCGTGACCATCCCCCCTGAGGGGTGATTTCTCGCTTTCTGTCTCTCTGTCTCTCTCTCTCTCTCTGTCTGGCGAGCGCATGCGCCCTATAGCGAAAACCTCTCAAAAAAAAAAAAAAAAAAATCCTGAGAGGAGAATGGAGAAGAGATTGTAGTGTAGCCATCTCTAGTGGGGGATGATTTCTCACTTTCTGTCTCTCTGGCAAGCACACATGCTTTCTAGCAAAATAATAATAAATAAATAATAAATATATCTGAAAATAAATAAATAAAATAAAGAGGGCTGCTCAGCTTTTCTGGGGGATCCTTAATCTGGGACCATCTGTCACTGATCTGGGACTGGAGTTCAGGGTTCCTGTCTACATCTAGCCTCAGAACCATAGCCCAAGTGCCAAATCACCGATCCCCTAAAACCCCCCCATGGATTAGTTTGAGAATGCTGAGGGGCCTGGCAGAGGCCACAGCAGCACAGAAGCCCTCCTACACCTCCCACACATCCACTCACACTCACTTCTCCACCCTGAGCAAGGAGACTCTGAAGAACACCTGGGCACTAAGCTGGGACTTGCAAGTCTGGAGGTCCTGTCTCTCACTGGACCTCCTTGAGTGAGCACCTTCACTCCTTTACCTATACCTCCATTTCCCCAGGGTGGAATGAGCAAGTTGGACAAGATCAATGGTTTTTATGAGTGACAAATGAGTATGGTCTGAAAAGCGTATTCAATATTATAATTTTATTCATCAAATTGAAAAGAAAATTGTTTCTATGTTGTACCAAGAAAAGGAAGAATAACATTTTTCTTTCACAAAGGATTATAGAAGTAAAAGGGCAGGTACAATGGGCTTAATCTTTTTTTTTTTTCTTTAGGTTTTGCCATAGGGATAGTGTGTTCAGAGAGACTAAGAGAGGGAGAGGGAAAGTGAGAAATCATCCCCTAGGTATGGCCATACTTCAGTCCTTTCTCCTCCATTCTGCTCCTGGGAATTTGCACATGCATGCACACTCCCTTGGCATGATTTTCAAGTCATCAAGTCTGGGATTCAATCTGTGTGGACCATGTGTGAGTCCAGTGCTTACACCACCTGCTGGCGCTGGAACTTTCTTTTTTTTTTTTTGAGAGTTGGTTTTTTTTTTTTTTTTTTTTTTTTTTTTTTTTTCACGAGGGGGCGGGGACAGACAGAGAGAGACAGAGAGACAGAAAGCAAGAAATGACCCCCAGGGGGGATGGTCACGCCACAATCCCTTCTCCTCCATTCTCCTCTCGGGATCTTAGGCACGCACACACACACACCTGGAGTGAGTTTTAAGCCACCAGGTCCAGGACTCGAACCGCGGTCGACTACATGGGAGTCCAGCAACAAAGCCATTACGCTAACTGCTGGTCCCTCTTTTCTTCTTTTTTTTGGAGAAGTTTTTACTATAGGGCACGTGCGCTCGCCAGACAGACAGAAAGAGACAGAGAGACAGTGAGAAATCACTCCCCAGAGGGGATGGCCACGCTGCAATCCCTTCTTCTTTCTGCTCTTGGGATCTTGGGTATACATACACATGTGCCGGGCGTGAGTTTAAGCTTCCGGTTCCGAGACTCAAACTGCATTCGACTACATGGGAGTCCAGTGACATAGCATTACACTAACTGCTGGTCCCTGGAACTTAAGAATTTTAATATTCCTTATACATCCAGAGAGTCAAGTAGGAATGTCTGCAGCAGTCCAGAAAAGGCTGTCTGTGATGTACCAAGGCAAGGGATCATTGTAATGGGACCAGGTAAGTGGGGGCATCTGACTATATTTAGAGTTGTGGCTTCAAGATGATGGTGTGGACTTCTTGTTCATTCATTGAAATTTATTTATTGCTTGCTCTGTAGCCAGTTCAAAAGAGGGTAAGATGTAGTCTTTGCTGCCTCTTATTTTCTAGACTGGGGGCCAGCAAATTATTTCTTCCAAAGAACCTGATCACATATATTTTACGACTTTCAGGCCACATAGTCTTAGTTGCCAACTCTACAACTCTATATTGTGAGAGTTATTGTAGAAAATGTCAATGAATGGGTGTGGCCATGTTCCAATAACACTTTATTTATAAAAACAGGTGGCAAGTCAGATTTGGCCTACAGGTCATATTTTCCTGACCCTGTTCCAGGCAGTAGGAAACCCTCAAGGTTCTTGAGCAGACATGACATGGCCAAAAGAAGGGAGAAGCACTAACACATACTGAACATTTAGTATATGTATGACAATTGTCTTGCGAAGCATCTGACTGGAGTCCAGTGACTTGTTGGGTCCTGCCAGCTCTGCCACCTATGGCTATTGAGGATTAAAAGAAGGGATAAGTATATCACAAGGTAAAGGATTTTGTTCACCAAAATCCCCAGGTTCCATTTCCTGAGAAGTGTGAGAAACAGTTTCCAGACTAGGAGGCAGGACATGTTTTCTGGGGGAGTAATGGGTAAGAAAATAGACTTGAAGAGCATCCTAGGGGTGGGAGAGATGGGGAGATTGGGCCTTGGGAAGTCCTGAGGGGAGCACAGGAAGGCAAAGTGTTTTCTGAAGCCTCAATGTAACAGAAGAACTTGATGATGACACATGTCTGAAGAGCTCTTCAAAGAGTTTTTCTTTTTTTTCTTTTTTTGGGAGGGGCAGTGGGGAGGTTTTTGCTATAGGGAGTGTGGGTTCAACAGAAAGAGAGAGAGAAAGCCAGAAATCACCCCCCCGAGGGGATGGCCATGCTACAACCCCTTCTTCGTTCTCCTCTTGGGCAGCCCAGCATGAGTTTAAGCCACCGGGTCTGGGACTTGAAATGTGGTCCACTACATGGGAGTCCAGCGACATAGCCATTACGCCAACTACTGGTCCTTTTATTATTTTTTTTGCAAAGAGCTTTTTAATGCATTAAGAATGTATTTGTCACCCCTGCCCTCAAGCGTTTTTTTGAGGGGTGGGTAACCAAGTAATCTTTTTAAAATAATAATGACTTTTTAAAAATTATTTCATTTTATTTATTACTATTATTATTATTATTTATTTTTTTGGAGAGGTTTTTTCACTATAAGGTGCGTGCGCTCACCAGACAGACAGAGAGAGACATAGAGACAGAAAGCGAGAAATCACCCCCCAGGGGGGATGGTCACGCCATAATCCCTTCTCCTCCATTCTCCTCTCGGGATCTTGGGCACGCACGCACAAGCACCTGGCGTGAGTTTTAAGCCACCGGGTCCGGGACTTGAACCACGGTCGACTACGTGGGAGTTCAGCGACATAGCCATTATGCTAACTGCTGGTTCCCAATTTATTACTATTATTTTTAAAAGATTTATTATATTTAACTTTATTTATTTATTTATAATTTGACCAGAGAGGGACAGAATGAGAAAGAGAGAGAAAGAGGGAAGTGAGAAAGCAAGCCACCTGGTCCAGGACTCGAACTGCGGTTGGCCATGTGGGAGTCCAGCACCTTTAATCACCACACCACCTGCCAGCCCACATTATTATTTTTAAATTTTCTATAAGACACATATGCTAATCATAGAGAGACAGAGAAGGAAAATGAAAAAACAAGTTGCCATGTCCAGGAGATGAACTGTAGTCAGTCAAGTGAGAGTCTAGTACCTCAACCACCATGCCACCTGCTGGCCCCACCAAGGAAACATTTGAATAACTCTCCATTACAATGCAGAAACCAGGCAGGGAACAAGCAGCACAAGGCCCCAGTTCTGCTCAGGTATAACTAGAGCCCTGGCTTAAGGAAGTGCTCAGGACAGGTTAGATGTCATTAGTATCTTTTTGACCAAGATGAGCTTGCCATCCAGACTCTCTTCACCTTTCAATGGAATAGGAGACTGGAGACTTAGAAATGCTGGGTCCTTTAATCAGGATAAGGCCACCTCTGAGAGATTAGGGGTGGGAAGGACCTCACTGACAACTCATCCAA